CAGGTACTAGACTTCTCTATGTGTTCCCTTTGACTCCCAGTCCCTTCACCATGACCAACTGTGAACTGAAACTGATCACCTGGAACAGTGAGATGGCATTGGTACATGCCACCTCGATGGGATTGAATTGGAATCCCCTGGTATGCTTCCAACTCCACCACTTGAGGCAAGTCAGCCTGAGCATGTCCCAAATTATACATCTCTTCCCTCTCCCATTCCCACCACCATGTTCAACAGGGATCACATTTCAGTTAATTTTCAACACTTAAGAATAACTGTGCAATACAGAAGATCAACTTAGTATATACTAAGTAAAGACTTCAACAGATTATACCCACACAGACACATAAAGTATAAAGTACTGTTTGAATACTAGTATTACCATTAATTCACATTGAAGACAGAGGTCCTACGTGGGAAATAAGTGCACAGTGACTCCTGTTGTTGATTTAACGATTGACATTCTTATTTATGATGTCAGCAATCACCTGAGGCTCTTGTCATGAGCTGTCAAGGCTATGGAAGCCTCTTGAGTTCACAAACTATTTATTTAGACAAGGTCATAATCAAAGTGGAAGTTCTCTCCTCCCTTCAGAGAAAGGTACCTCCTTCTTTTGATGACCCGTTCTTTCCACTGGGATCTCACACAGAGAGATCTTTCATTTAGGTCATTTTTTGCCACAGTGTCTGGCTTTCCATGCCTGAGAAACTCTCATGGGCTTTTTAGAGTGATCTGAATGCCTTAAGGGCTGATTCTGAGGCCAGACTGCTGTTTGGGGCATTTGCCATACTATGAGTCTGCCAAGTATCCCACTTCCCATATTGGATCGTTCTCTCCTTTTTAATTTTATCAATTATTATTAGACCCAGCCTATATTTGTAAGGCTTGAGAGCTAATAATGTTATTTGTTTGTAAAACACTGTAAAAATCAGAAAGTAACCAAAAAGGAATGTGAGACAAATCAAAGTTTGGCCCTTTACAGAAAAGCTTAGATGACCCTTGATTTAAATTATTATTCAATCTTTCCATAGAATACATATTCCACAAAGTATTTGATTTAACTTATATGCTAATGTTTTTTTTTCTAGTTGATCTTCTCATTTCTTCTAAAACATGTTTCTGATTCCTATATCTGGTTGAATTTCTCATATGTTTAATAATTACCTTTAAAAATATTCTACATCTTAAAATTCCAGGATTTGAAGATCTTCAAATCTGATTCTGCTGTTTCTTGTGCCTGCTGACTCTCACCCATGAGAGTTTTATTTCCTCATTGCTTTGTGACTTCCCTACTGTGACCTGAAAATCTTTGGTACTATATCTCTAGCATGTGTTCTAGATATGAATTGTGGATGTTTTCCTCCAGGTAGGATATTACTTGTTTCTGTAGAGATTTAGAGGCACTATGCAATTAGGTATACTTGAAATTAAAACTCTGAACTTGAGGGTTTTGTTTCAAATAAACAGGATACACTCAGGATTAAAATCTCTATTAACATTGACTTTGTATGTACATTCTCCAAAGAATTTTCTTCTCTTCCTAGAGTTAAAACTGGGTCAATAGATTTTCTTGTACTCTACAGCTATAGGGTACATTTTTCCAAGGCCCTGACCTGCCTGAGGATGTAAATTATGTTGGATCACAGAATATTTTAGGCAGAGAAAGGAATGGCAGGTCTTCACTTTGCTTTCTTACCGCTTGGATATCTCAGGACTTTGTATTTGCCACTTCCCTCCCAGCAGTCACTGAAATACAAGGTCCAGGTTATCTGCTGTCAGTACATAACTCTCATCAGCAGGTGTGTCAGTTATCTTGCTCAGTTAACTTCCCCCTATTCACGTCTTTGCTCCTTTAAGTATCTTTTTTTAAAAGACTTGTTTATTGATTGATTGATTTAAAAGGCAGAGTTACAGATAGGCAGAGGCAGAGAAAGAGAAGAGATCTTCCATCAGCTGGTTCACTCCCCAAATGGCTGCAATGGCTGAAGTTGAGCCAATCCAAAGTCAAGAGCCTGGAGCTTCTTCTGGGTCTCCATGGAGCTTCTTCTGTGTCTCCCATGTGGGTTCAGGGGCCCAAGCACTTGGGTCACTTCCTCTGCTTTCCCAGGCCATAACAGGGAGCTGTATTGGAAGTGGAGCAGCTGAGACTCAAACCAGCACCCATGTAGGATCCTGACACTGCAGATGGTGGCTTTACTTGCTATGCCACAGTGCTGGTCCCTTCAGGTATCTTTTTAAAGAGGGCTTAAAACTAATTTATCTGGCATTTTTAGGGGTGTTTTATGGTGAGAAGCTTTCAAGATTCTATCCTGTCATCAAATTTGCTCATAAAAGTCTCAAAAATACATTTATGATAAATTAGTAAATAAATTATTTGACCTATAAAAGTTTCTATGTCTCTAGAACAAACATGTATGTATACAAAGGCACATCTTGGTGGGGTTTTGGCACAAATCATGTTTATTACATGCTTTCCAGTGCCTGTATAAACATTTACTCTGGTCATTTTGAAGCTATTGTCTCTCAAGTCTAATCAACCCTTCTGTATATAATATTTATAATATTGGGATTATTACCATGCTAAATACATTTATCCTTTACCAGTTGGCTTCCTGTATATTTCACCAACAGGAAGTACTGCAGACAGTACTGTGGGGGAGAATGTAGCAAGAACACAAATCTGATTTCTGTTCTCGTGAGTCTCGCCCCAGAACAGGCATTTCACTTACTAACAGGACAGATTTTCCTGGCTTCCTTGGCACTTTCAGAGATATCTGCATTATTTTCCTAGTATTATACCATCTGGACAGGGCCTTCTCTCCGAGTTCCAAGTGCCAACTCTAATGCGTCCATCTCAAAGCTCCCAAGGTCCCAGCAGGTAGAATACTTTTTCAGAAATCTGAATCTCAATCTGTGTTGCCTCTTCTCTGAATTCATCACTTCTAGAATCTCCAGTGTTTTTACTCTATTCCCCCAGCTCCAAAATTGCCATCTCTTTCCTGTACTTTTTTTTTTTTTTTGACAGATAGAGTTAGACTGAGAGAGAGAGACAGAGAGAAAGGTCTTCCTCCAGTTGGTTCACCCCCCAAATGGCCGCCACAGCTGGCACTGCGCCAATCTGAAGCCAGGAGCCAGTGCTTCTTCCTGGTCTCTCATGCGGGTGCAGAGGCCCAAGCACTTGGGCATCCTCCACTGCCTTCCCGGGCCACAGTAGAGAGCTGGACTGGAAGAGGAGCAACCGGGACTAGAACCAGCGCCCATATGGGATACTGGTGCCACAGGTGGAGGATTAACCAAGTGAGCCATGGCGCCGGCTCCTCCTGTACTTCTTATATCTGTGTTATCTCAGTTTATGTTTGGTTTTTTCAGTCCTCCAAGTATTGTCTAACAATTTCTTATATTAAATTCTTTCTGCTGATCCATATATTGTGCTGTTTCTGGTTTTTGTTTTGTTTTGCTTTCATTTTATTTTGTTTAACTGCAACATCTCCATGAACAAATGTTCAGTTACTAGTTGCCTTCAGTAAATCCCAAATGACTCAGGAAGCATGAACGAAATAATATTCAGTGGGCACTTACTAACATAACACCATCACTTGACTCTCCCTAAAATCTTTTTTTATTAGTTACTGTCAAATCTATAATGACTATAAATATTATGAAAATCCATCATGCCTGTCACATATTGAGATAATCCCTCTGATATTTAATATATACAATGTCTGGTATCTAATTTGTAAACACTTACTTTGTGTACAAATGTTACTGGTAGACAAAAACCCAATACATTCAGGTTTAAGAGCAATCAAAATAATGCCTGGCCTGAATTTTTTTTTGATATTGTACAATACACACCAAAGGTGAACAAATTTAACCAGTCACAGTGCTGTCAATTAATGCCAATTTTATTTTAACTTAAACACCTCTATTCAAAACAGATAATGACCTTGAGCATCTAACTCAGCAAATAGGCATTTTGTAATCATACTCCAGATAATTTTGCACCCCCTTAAGGTGTTAATGGAGCTGAGGATAGTAGCAGGAAAAAGTAGCATCAGGAATGTAGATGTGGGACTTGTGGTAACTGAGACCAAAATCTATGTGTGGCATCGAGACACATCATCTTGAATGCACCTGGGTGTTTAAGATGATAATTCATGGCCTCTCAGAAGTCAGGCTTCCGTAGGCTACCCTTTAACAGACAAGGGCACTACAGAAAATCTTAAACCAAACTTGTGGGCACTTAGATTTGCACACCCTTCATAGGAAATTATGTACATAGTCTCCTACTGACTTGATATCTAAATGAAATAGTAATTTTGCCTGAAGTTGATTTTCAGAACAATGTTTCTCAATGTGACACATGACAAACATCTATGGTATAGTCAGACAAAGCATTTGTAAAGAAATGTTAATGACTCAGATTTTGTGCCAATGATTTCTAGGAAAGGAAAATAATATATAAAGGATATTGCAAGGAATTTACAATTACCTTGTGGTATGATACAAAATGATGGGCAAGGTGTACTAAGCATGTATTTTGGTGCCTATTCTAAGTAATTCTTACATGCACTAAGTTATTTAACCTTCAAGGTAATTCTGTTATCATCATAGAAATAAGAAAACACAGGCATAGAGAATTATATAACTTGTACAAAATCTCACAGATAGTAATTTTAAATGCAGGACTTATACTGATGCAATCCGATCCATCAGCCATACCCTCAGCCATGACACTATGCCTAGGTGATAACCATCAAAGCTCACATACAGCAGTTAATCCATCACTCCTATGAAGTGTCAAAGTCACAAAGAATTAAGATTTTCAACACTGAATTTATTTACACATGAGAAAATATAATTCCTGTGAAAAAATTACTCCTGTCTAAAAATAAAGTAGGTCTACATTTACAAAGTTCATAGAGTCCTTTGCTTATGTAACCTAAATGCAATGTACATATTTTTTATAATATCAATCATATATGGGCCAATTTTACCTAGAATTACATCTAAACTTACCTGTTTTCTCCTTTTAAGGAAACCTCATTTGGTATTTCACCAAGCCAAGAAAGTCTGAAACATGTTTTGAACTTTTCTGAGTAAAGAAAACTAATCCGTGTCTCATCCTACCTCGTAGATGTTTGACCTGAAAGAAGCAGAGAGAACAAACTATTGTGATAACACAAGGATGCCTTATAACACAAAGCACATAGATAGTATAGACACAATGTTAAAGGGATAAAAGTAATTTTTTAAACATCAGAGAGTTTATGTGATTTGTTTTAGTATATTTGAATGTGCTTTATTGAGAAAAGACAAGTATTGTAATATTTAACTTGTCTGTCAACCAGTTAATGCCATTTAATAGTAAATTATTAAGAGGTACCTTATTGAATTTAGCATTTGGAATTAAAAAACATTTGGAATTAAATGATTTGTTTTATTATACTTAGTTGATGATTTCTATGGTTATAGAGGCTATCAAATATTAATTGAATTGGTAAAGCAATATTTTTAGAAAGTACTGATTTAGATTCAATGAAATAAATTATTTTAAGAATTTACTGATTTACTGAGCCATGGGTGAAATCAAGTCTTTGGTGATAAGGGATCATTGGATCAATGGAAATGCGTCAAGAGAGTAACAGTTCTAACAGGTCACTGTGGTAACCAGCGGGCCAGTACAACTAAGTCCTTCTTTTGGAGGGCGCTAGTGAGCAGAAATGAATGAACCCTCAACTGCTACACTTCAAGTGACCCTTTATCCTCTCTCTGTCAGGACTATTTTAGCTGCTGTCCTCCCCACAGCCCCAGGAACTCAAGGACATTACAACGACTGGATCAAACTTTAGGTGTGGGTTCCTCCAGAAGGCTCCTGCTCTGTCCTTGTCTTCCAGCTAACTGGGTTTGGCCAGAATTTCCCAGTGGTGGTTATATGGGACCCCTCACTTCTGCGGAGACGAAGGCCAGGGGCTTCTGAGAGGCCAGAAAATACCAGAATGAAGCTTTGGGGGAAAAAAAGAATATACTGATTTTCCTTCCAGTGATAAGTGAAGAAAGGAAATTACTTAAAAATCTTTTGATACAGCAAGATTGTAAAATGAGAACGACAAGGTTTAGCATGTATTTGACATGACATTTGAGAATGAACATATGGCTAAGAGCATAAGGTATGGAGTCAGCTAGAAATTGATTAGAATACTAGAATCACGGCTATGTGCTTCCTCAATAGTGTACATGCACCATAAAACAGTGTGCAAATAGTAGACACTAAATAAAAGAACTTAAGTTAATTTTGTGACTTGCAATCTACACTACAAATTTTCTGAACTGATTTTGATTTCTGGAACATTCTATTTCTGGAACATTGCCTCCTGTCCATCTGGAGAATGTCTACATTTTCCTCTTGATTCAAGTCTCCTCTGAACATAGTCTAGCTTTCCTTCTCTATTCTCAGTTACACCATTTCTTTCTCTATATTCTGAAGAATACGTCTCTTACCTTTGTTACAACACCTACAAATATGCATGTTTTTCCTCACTTACAATTTATTTCCCCTCACTAAAGCGTACAACATTCAAGGACCAAAACTAATTAATTTTATGTCACTAGCTCTTAGCACAGGGACAAACATCTGGCAAATTTTCAATTTAGTACTTGCTAAATAAAAGAAATAATAACAGAAAAGGTAAGTGAATAAATAATTGAATCAAGTTATTCCTCTTCATTATTCAAGATTCAAATGTGCATGTAAGATATGCAATAAAATACACAAGGAGGTACCATTAAATATTGGAAAATCATAACAGCTGTATTTGATTCAATAGTTAAAACACTAGGTTAAGACTTTTCTTGGGACACCCGAACCCCTTATCAGTGTACCTGGGTTCAAGTGAGCTCTGCTTCCAATTTCAGCTTCCTGCTAATGTACACCCTGAGATAGCATGTGATGCTTCAATTAATTGAGTGCTCACCAACCACATGGGAGACCTGGAATGAGTTCTGGGCTCCCAGCTTTAACATGACCAAATCTCTGCTGTTGAGGTCATTTGGGGACTGAATCAGCAGATGGAAGACAATGTCTGTCCACCTCCCTCTCTCTCTCTGTCTCTGATTTTCAAATACATAGTTAAAATAAATCAATAAAAATTTAAAAATTAATAAATCATTTTGTGTTTCTAGATCTTCTCCATTATTTAATTTTCCTAAGTGTTTTATAAGAACTATCAAATGGACTTAGAGGAAGGAATAAATTATTCATATTTGCTTCCAATATCAGTATTTCTTGAACCCTTCTGTTTCTGGGTAGTCTTCCTTTTATGGCTAGCTAGAATGACACTCTCTATTGTTAGGCTGTAGTAAAAAGTTGAATTTATGCACGTAATTTGTATTATAGTTATGGAATTCACTGGCTTCCATTTTTTAAATACTTTTGTGAACTGGAGCCAGGGATTACTGGTGAGTTTTAATTAAATTTAATGGATTCTAATTAAATACCAGGCAATAAATGTTCTAATCCTTTGACTGCACATACATGTCAAAATATTTGGCTTCTTGAATCAGAAGCCACCAAATATTCTTTGAGTTTATTAATAGAAGTAGGATGAATTTAAAAAAAGGAATAAATTCTTTCTAGGTGATCAGGTATTTCACAGTTAGAGGCCTAAGGAAATTTTCCTAACTTACATATAAGCTTTTCTTCCCCAAAATTTGAAACAGAAATTATGTATCATCGAATATAAGAATGTATAATTAGTAGGCTTTATTATATGCACAAAGTTGAACAACTATTGCCACTACCCAATATCAGACCATTTTTATCACCCCAAAAAGAAGTCCTATAACAGTTAGCAGTTACTCTCCATGACTCCACTACTCTGTTTCCATGAATTTACCTATTCTGGAGATTTCACATAAATATAAAAATACAATTCGTAGACTTTTTTAGTCTGGCTTCTTTAATGTGTCATAAAACTTTCAAATACTGATACTATGTATCAGTATTCATTATATGTCTGACTAATATTCCATTTTATTGATATACAACATTTCCTAAGTTGGTTCCTTTTCTAGATATTACAATTAATGCTGCTATGAAAATTTTGTCAACAGGCATACAGTTTCAGTCCTTTGGATATAGTGAGGGTAATTACTGGATAATGGCTATCAATTTAAGAGACTACTGAACTTGTTTTCCAAAGTGGCTGCTCTGTTTCACATTTGCAAAGGCAATATACGGGTTCTCTAATTTCTAATTTCTCTACATCTATGCCAGCACTTAACTTTTTTTCATTGTAGCCAAGTGCAAAGTAGAACGATGTTTATTTTTATTTCCTTTTTCTTTTATTATTATTATTATTTGACAGGTAGAGTTGTAGACAGTGAGAGAGAGAGACAAAGGTCTTCCTCCTGTTGGTTCACCCCCCAAAATGGCCGCTATGGCCAGAGCCAGGAGCCAGGTGCTTCCTCCTGGTCTCCCATGTGGGTGTAGGTGCCCAAGCACTTGAGCCATCCTCCATTGCCCTCCTGGGCCACAGCAGAGAGCTGGACTGGAAGAGGAGCAAACGGGACTAGAACCTGGCGCCCATATGGGATGCCTGTGCGGCAGGCGGAGGATTAACCAAGTGAGCCGTGGCACTGGCCCTTCATTTCCTTTTTCTATATCATTGAATCATAAACAAATATTTAACCTTTGTTCCCTTTTTCTATCATAGAGAAACAACATGGAAATAGAATATACATCATGCTACAATACCTTTGTATGGAATATTCAATTAAAATAGACTCTGTACTCTAGAAAATCTCAAAGGAAATTATATTTATGTCTGAAAGTATAAAGTAGGCCATATTCACTGACTATAATGCAAAAAGATCAAACTCATATAATCTGCAATGTAGTCCTAAACATCTGTAAATGAAAACAAAAGAAACATAACACAGGTTTCCAAATGATCCATGAATCATAAAAACGAAAGTTATTTTTAAAATCTGTAACTGAGGTATTGTGAAAGTGCAATATGTAGATATATCAATGTGTCTTTGATGGTAGTTAAAGCAGTCTGTAAAAGCAATTATAGCCTTAAATATATTTATCAGAAAATTTGAAAGTTAAAAAAAGACTAAGTTTTAAACCAGGAAGTTCAAAAAGTACAAAGTAAACTAATAATTAAATAGGTAGGCGTTTAATGCAAGAATTAAGAGGCTGCTTGGGACGCCCATATCTCATATCAGAGTATCTAGGTTCATGTCTTAGTTCCCCTTCCAATTCAATCTTCCTACTACTGAGAACCCAGGAAGGCAAAGGTGGTGGCTCAAGAATTTGGATCCCTGCCATCCATGTGAAAGAGTTCCTGGCTCCAGGATTCAGCCTGGCCCCACCCTAGCTGTTGCAGACAGCCAGGGAGTGAACCAACGGATAGAATATCTATCTCTTCTGTCTCTTTCTCTGGCTTTCTGTGTCTTTCTGAGAATCAAATAAATTAAAATAATTAAAAATTATTTAAAAATGAGCAGAAGAGATTTATAAAATGGGATTTCTCTAACCTAAAAAGGAGTATTAATTAAAGTTAAAAAGTTAATACTGTATCATACTTAATAGTGAAACATTAGAAGGGTAATAGTTAAAGTGAATAACAATGGTAAGGAAGACCACTAACATTGGGCATTGATTATAACATATTGTCTTAATGATTATAATAAATCAAATGAGTATACATGTGTGAATGTATATATGTGTGTATGAGTGTGGCCTGCATAGAAAAGGATTAAACTTAGTTGAGTTTTGTTAATTATGTGCACTTAACTAAACAACACAAAATATTTAATTGAAAGCTATTAGTGCAAAAAGGAAAATTTAGCAAGGATGAAGAAATTAAAATCAACCAAAGCATGTCAAATTATTATGTGGAACAAAGGAAGCCAGATACAGAAAATCACATGCTATATACATTTTTATGAGGTGCAAAGAACAGAAAACTGAATCTCTGGTGATCAAAATCTAAATAATTGTTGGTCTTGGGATGAAATAATTTCAGAAAGAATTTAAGTAGTTTCAACAATTGTCTGCCATATGAAAAATTAGATCCTTACCTCATACTCTACACAGATAAATTAAAAAGTTACTTACAAACATAAATTAACATTGCT